ACTACCGGTTAGTGATAGAAATGTAACCCAAACTACCGGTTAGTGATAGAAATGTAGCCCAAACTATCGGTTAGTGATAGAAAGGTAGCCCAAACTACCGCTTAGTGATAGAAATGTAGCCCAAACTACCGGTTAGTGATAGAAATGTAGCCCAGACTACCGGTTAGTGATAGAAATGTAACCCAAACTACCGGTTAGTGATAGAAATGTAACCCAAACTACCGGTTAGTGATAGAAATGTAACCCAAACTACCGGTTAGTGATAGAAATGTAACCCAAACTACCGGTTAGTGATAGAAATGTAACCCAAACTACCGGTTAGTGATAGAAATGTAGCCCAAACTACCGCTTAGTCTTTCCAGTGCTACATGGCTGCGGTGTTGTGTTTGTTTTACCAAGATCAGACTAACACGGCTACTTCTCTGTTAGTGAAAACTCCTAAGAACGGCCACACTGGCTCAGACCAAAGGTCCATCTAGCCCCGTACCCTGTCTGCCGCCGGCAGTGGCCAGTGCCCCAGAGGGAGTGAGCAAAATAGGGAATCATCAAGTGATCCCTCCCCCATCATCCATTCCCAGCTTCAGGCAACCACAGGCTAGGGACACCATTCCTACCTATTCTGGCTAATAGCCATTGATGGACCTATCCTCCATGAATGTATCTAGTTCTTTTCTGAACCCTGTTAAAGTCCTGCTCTTCTCCACATCCTCTGACATCCTCCTGAGGTCTCTTCATCCACAATACCTCCTGAGGTCGTGTCCAACCCTATTATTCTAAGGAGTTCCACAGGTAGCATATGCAGTCTTTGAAGATGTGCTTCCTTTTGTTTAAAATCTACTGCCTATTAATTTTCATTTGGTGACACCTAGTTCTTGTATTATGGGAATGAGTAAATAACTTTTCCTTATTTACTTTCTCCACAACAGTAACTATTTTATAGACCTCTATCATATCCTTCCTTTGTCTTCTCTTTTCCGAATTAAAAAGTCCCAGCCTTATTAATCTATTGCCTCATATGGAAGCTATTCC